TGATTCGGGTCGCAACCAAAATCGGTTGGTGACCAAATTTGGAGGGGTCAGAATGTATTAACCGTATTTACGTTGAACCTTATGGGGAAATTTGATTCGGGCCGCGACCAATTCGGGTCGCGACCAGAGTCGCGGAACGAATTAAGTTCGTGAACCAAGGTACCACTGTACATTATTTTGCATTTCTATTTGTTAAAGTTCAGATCATTCAACCCATTTCTTTAACCTATCAAGATCATTTTGAATTTTATTCCTGTTTTCCCAAGCATTAGCCCAATTTTCAGCATCCACAAATTCATCCAAGTCATTGATAGAAATATTGAGTATATGGGCCAGGACTGAACCCTCTGGCAACGCACCTGATGGCTTACACCAGTTTCATGAGAAAACATAGTTGAATTCCCTTTGAGTATAATTTCTGTATATTCTCTTAATTGCCATAATATCTAGCCCACATTCATCCACTTTGTTAGTCATGGGTACTTTATGAAATGCTTTACTGAAATCAAGATTTATTATATCAACAGCATTACCACAAGCTACTCCACTAATTACCCAATCAAAATACAAGCTAAGGATATACCTCCAAGCCATATTCTTAAATTCATGCTGATCTGCCAATCCCCAATTGCTGTAAGGTGTCCCAAGTGTCAATGCCAGACCGACTGGTTTGCAATTCCTACTCTGCCATCCCACCCTTCTTTCTCCCCTTTATGAAGTCTAGAACACTTGCTATCCTCTGGCATTTTACCAATTCTACTGGATTTCTCAAATATAATTAAGAAAGCATAATCTGTTCTAATCAAAAACTCATACAGATATAAAATGTACAGAAGAAATAAAAGGAAATTAAATGTCTCAAGAGTTACACTGACCACAAGAGTTTGTCTGGGTCCATTCTGACGTCTCAGAAAAAAGCCCATTTGGAATCACACTTGCTTTAACTTCAGTGCGAAGTCATATTTGTGCTTCAGACTGGTACAATTTTGAAAAATACAAAACATTGCAATTTTGGGGGATGATATTTATGAGAATAGTAGAAGCTTTAGAAACAATTTCAGAAAGAGGTGGAGAGGTATGGAAGCTAGACTCTTTTAAATTGTTTTATTTGTTTTGATTGGAAAGAACTAAAATACCATTTCTGTCAGGATAAACTCTATCAAATTCCAGACAGATTGAGGTAGGTTGCAAAAGACGTTGGTAGTTAAACAAAGGGGTAAAAAAACCCAAACCATTAACACCCCCCTGGCACTGTTTGCTAAGTGGTGCCAATGAAAACTAGAGCAAAAAAAAAAAAAAAATTGCCAAACTGAAAGACCATCAATGAAAGGAGTATCATTCTTCGTCAGATTTAAATTATATTTATTAAGATGATTTTTGAAAGATATATATATGTATTTATTTAAAGGATTTATATGTCCACTCAACTCACAAAAGTATGATTCTGACCAATGTACATTAATAAAAACAGAATTACAAAATTCCTAATAAGAAAATTGCCAGAAACCAACAAGAAAACACAGAGTTCACATGTAAATGTATATGTTCCTAAAGCATAAAACTACTGAAATTCAACCACAACAAGTATTCTGCTTCAGAGATGTTCCACAAAATCTTCCAACAGTATTCAGTGCCATTCAGAAAGCTTTGTGTTCAGTGCCCTATTTAGTTCATTTCCACATATTGTAACTAAAAGTTTTCTTCAAATGGTTTTTAAAAAATGATGAATTGTTCTCTTTATTAGAGAGTAAATATGTAAATCAGTCAATTTCATTTCTCTCCATCCAGTTTTATGGGGAAATGCAAACAGTCACAATTTCAATTCAGTTGGGGAAAATTCTAGTCTGAGATTCTGGGAAGCTGCCCCAGTCATTGTTAATAAAGCTGAGCTAGATGAACTAATGATCTGACTTGGTATAAGGCAGCTTTGTGTGTTTAAACAAAAAAAAAATCATTTAAACTATAAAACTATTGATAGAAACTCCATTAAGAGTTTAATTAAAATGTCTTCTGATAGCTTAATGGTTTGTTTTCTAACATTAAGCTTGCTGAACTAATAATTGGACACAAATTTACCTCCAAGTAAGTACTGTTTGGTATAAAACTCTCCTTTCACATATATTGTGTTCTTAAAACCAGGAAATAAATAAGGAAAACAAAGTCCCCCCCCCCCAATTGATAGAATCCCAGGGACTCTTGAATTTCTTGGAGACCCTCTCAGATCTCAAAAAGAAGAAATAGGTTAGACCTTTCTCACTAGTATCCTAATAAGTAGTTTCCTAGGCAGGGCTCTTCCCACCAAGGTAAGACTTTAAAATGGGTGCAAAAGATTGGACCAAGTAATTTAAGAGCCCCCTCCTACTTTTTGTACATCGGTGGCAGCAACAGCAGCACCACAACCATTATCATTCAGAAAATTTATTGGACTTCACTAGCATCCTGGCCTAACACCTGGGGGAAGAGCCAGGTCTTCACAGCCTCCTAGAACATCCATTGAGATATTTCATCAAATATTTGGCCAACCTATATAATTACCTTCCACTGCTTTTACCCAGAGATTTTATATACAAAAGTGAAGTAAACAGATTCAAACTCTCCATATTTATTCCCATTCTGACATACCCAAGTAATAGAGTTTTAGTTTTATCAGAGCAGAACACTCCACTATCAAAGAATTTTGATCAGTACTACGCATTGCTTTGCTATATTTTTAATGCTTTTCCCTGGATCTACTAACTTTTTTGCTACAATATGCAAATTGCAGATTACTGTAGTTTCTAAATTAAAGTATAAATAGCATACTTACTTGGATTCCAGGTGTACCTTTCTTAAGTTTTGTATGCTGTTCAAGCTTAACACTATCAGAGACAGAGCTACTCATGGAAGCTACGTGTTGCTTTTTTCCACCTCTGATGTAACGGTTATACCGCAGAACTTCACATACAGGACTCAGGCTATTAAAAAAATATTTGGCAATTTTATCTCAAGGAGTAAAAACTGGATTAATATTTGATACATTCAAAACAATATAAGTAATATGAACTTGATTTTTATACATTTTTCTTGCTGACTTTATATGCTGTATATATTTTCTAAAGCAAACAACCAGAAAATTGCCTGTCAAAACATTATTCTTATATTATTGAGAACACATAACCAAAAGCTGCATCAAACTGCTACTGACAAAAATACTGTGATCCAGTTGTCTTAATTTTATTTTAATAAGCAACATGTAAAATTCAGTTGGATACAATCTCTTTCAACCTCATATTATTATTTTAATGTAATTCTATGCGTGTTTATTCAGATATCCAAATATAGACAACAGGACTTATTCCCAGGTAATGGCACCTATCACTCTAATAACAGGACTTATTTGGCTCTAATTTACACATCACTAATATATATTATCATAATGCCCTCCATTAATCCATATACAAAAAATAATATATGTACCACAAATTTATGCACTATATTTCAACACAAGGAGAATGGCTATTTGGCCAAAATTAGCTAAAACAACCATTCAAGGCAACAAGTACATAATTCATGTTTAACGTGTATACTTTATAAGAGAATGACATAGTTAACCTATCATCTCTGTGCCCTCACTTACACACACAAATAAGTAGGGACTAGTATGTACTGCTTGTACTGTATGTGCTTATTCGTGTACTTATCCCTAACAATAGGGATAGAAACTGAAATGCAGAAGTTTACATTTGCCAAATCAGGAATGGATGAAAATACTTTAAAAATGGTAAGACAAGGAATTAGTAAGATGTAGCCAGACAACCCTAGGCTTCTGGTGAAAATGATAGGCCACATGGGTCATAAATAAAGCTGAAGTTCTTATAATTATCTTATTCCAGAGGGTCTTTAATTCCTGGTTAGGCACAGATATTTGAAAAACACAGTGTGCATAAACTGCCCTCCAGTCTCCAAATGTTCATTACAAATTCAGAAAGTATCTAAGTTTCAAGCTACTTAGATAAGTACTATGTTTATTTATTCCCCATCTTTTGCCACTCTAGGCAAAATTTAACAAAACGTAAATCAAAAATAGAATATACAAAGTTAAAAGAGAGTTTAAAATTAACAATAAAATAATTACTAAAACCATCTAATAATCACAAGACTGGTATAAATCAGGCCTATAGACATTTCCAAAATTCCGAGAGAGAGGAAGCCAAACATAATGCCTAAGGAAATGCCTTCTATAGCCTGGCAGTAACATAGGAAAAGGCCATCTTCCAGGTGCCAGAAAAATGAGCCTTTGACAGTGGTGGCATCTTCCCTTTACACATGTTCTTTAGGGAAAATGAGGGGGCTTGGCACTGTTCTTCTCCAGATTGCCTCAAGGAGATTATTCACTGACCATTTCATTCACTAACCATGTCCTGTCATTCTTCTTTAGAGAGGTTTATTTTCAATTGAGATCCTCAGCATTCAGTAACAAAAGCCCTTATTTGACTTTTTTTTAGCTTACTAATTTATGCACTGCTGCATAATTTGAGTGTCATGCAGGAGTCTTATTTAGAAGTGGACCCATTTTACTTCCAAGCTGAGGAGCATTTTTATATATCCTATAATGATAATACACAGGAGCTAAAATAATGCCTCATAATATGCAGTGTATATTCAGAAACTGGAGTACCTGGCAGTTCAACTGAATAGTATTTGTTTAATGGGCTAGGATCTATAATTAGAAAGACATTTCAACTGTACACTGAAATACCAAATTTGAATATCATTTAACTAAAACATTTTCCTCATCCAACAATCTTGTCAGCTTTCACAGGAATATAACATACTTTATAAATTTACTCATAGCTCCCATTGAATGTTATGGGCTTTAGTTCAAGTTTCATTTGAATTGAATTTATTTGTATTTATTTTATTTAAACAAAGTATATAACAGTCCAACTTCGAAATCCAACTCTGGGGGACTAACAAGGGATTAAAAGCAAAACAAGGTAAAGAATAAACATAAAAGAATCACAACAATACAACGTAACGCAACATAAACAGCAGCCCAAAATATACTCAAAAGGTTAAACCCATTTTCCAGATGGGTTCATCCAATGTCCTAACCCAGTACTCAGGGAAAAAACCAAGTTTTTAACACTTAAAGAAAGCCAGCAGGGTTAGAGTCATCTGAACCTCAGGGAATATGCTGTTCCAAAGGGCGAGCACCTTGGCAGAGAATGCACACTTCCTGGGTCTCATTAAATGGCAATTGTACCAATGGTTATTATAGACTATAGGATTATATTGGGTAGCCTTTGTCAGGCCAGCATTTCAGTCTCCCCCTCCTCCGAACTTCAAAATATGGATAATAATACAATCCATCTTATAAGGCTGTTGTAAGAATGACCAATTATATTTTTCAACTTAGTTTTTAACTTGATACAGATTTGAAGATGATGCCAGCACTTACTCTGATCAATATCACAGTGGCTAGGAAATCAATTTTAACTGTCTTTATAATCATCTTATTTATCTAGCTTTAGCCCAAAGGTTCATGAGTGGACACATAAATGTTTACTTAAGTAACCTTGTTTCCTAAAAGGGTCATAACAATTTAGCAGCTAAGTGTCCTCTTGTGAAGTTATACAGACAGAGTAGGGACAATAATAAGTTTTTTTTTAAGCTAATTAGCACAATGGATAAACTTTTCATTATTATATGTGTAAAAGCATACTATTAAGATTATCATTTCAGTCTTAAAATATGCATGCTGGTAATATCATTGTTATATTTCTATAATACCAGAGCTGTAGGAAAAAAGTGAATGACACAGCTGCATTTGTAAAGTTTTCAACATTGTCTGTAGATGCACAGCATGGTGCCAACATGTAAAGGCATGCATTTTGTATTACATATCTTCTGTACTCTCTCCAAAATGCATTGGGCTCATGGAAAGCACAACCGGAAGACATTAGTTAAAAACAAGTAAATTGTCACTTCCTTAAAGAAAATGTGACCTTCTGCCAAAATGATGCAGTACCTGTCACTCTTCATCAGAATAATAGCTTGACAAGTTTACTGTTGAAATATTTCATTTTTCTTGCCAAATAATGGTGTGTTATCAAACAAGATGGTTGTCAACATTCAGTCTTCTTTTAAGCAATACGATATATAGACAAGCAGTTATAACATGATTACATGGCTCTCTATTCTAAATGTTCTGAATTTTCCAAGAAGCCTCTTCAGGAAAACAAACAAACTCTTAGAACTTTATGGCAACCTCTCCAATCTGGCACTACTCAGATATGTTAGGACTACAATTCCTAGCATTCGCAAGCTGGCTGAGAATTCTAGGGACCGTAGCTGTAATGCATCTTGAGCATGCCAGCTTAAGGAAGGCCTTTACACAGTAGTCAGCACCAGTATGCAGCTACTTTTCACTGTTTATCACAGAACCTCAGCAGCACCTCTGCTTCAACCTTTGCTGTGTTTGCTATTTCTTCCTTCTAACCCATTAAGCCCTCTTTCCCAGCCACTGGGGCGTCTTCATTCGCTCCTGCAGGCCAGCCCTCAAACCTGAAGACATTATTGCAAAGCTGCATTACTTTTCTATCCTCTTCCTGGTGTCTCTCAGTTTCATCATATGTCTGAAAGTGGAAAGGATTCAGGATTATGTCCCTGTAGTACAGCCTTATGGCAGATTTAATGATTCCTTTTTTTGAAGTGCCAAGAAGGTCTACCTGAACTCCTCAAAGAAAAATATATGCAGTTCCTGAGCTAGTTGGGCTGCCTGAGTCCTATACAAATGACCAGCCAATCCAGCACAGTATGAGATTCATTGATCTAAACTGACAACCTTTCTAATCTTACTCAGTATAAGATGCTGGAATTGATGGAGAGTATTTTGACAGATGTGGTTTGCTTGGTTTCTGAATGCTTCACAGAGCACCATCTGTGTACAAATAATACAAAGGCACAAGTCAGTGCTTTTCATCTTATAAATTATGATGCTAAGCATGAATTTACCATCATCTGGTGTGGGGCATAGTTCACCCAGTACATAAATTTAGAATATCTTGGAGAATACACTTTCTTTCAGATATCACACTGAAAAGACCTAAGCAACTTTAATATCGATAATAACACTTCAGTAAGTCATTCTCTTCACCTTGTCACACTTACCACAAACCACTATGCATACTGCTCCCCGCTATATCACAACACCCATTACTGCTTTTTGGTAGCATATTATTTCTGACATACAATAAGAAATTAAGATGTTTATTTACATGTATAGGAAACAGCATCAGACACAAATAACAATGAAAAAATAAATTCCTATATATACAAAATTGCACTCAAATCAACAATGATAGTATTTTGTTCCTCTTCTCTGATCATCCTCTCAAAGAACTATGCTTCTGGAAGTCAGACTCTATATTTCATATGGCATAAATTTCTTTGATGCCTTGAATGAAAAATTCACAACTATAATGTTCTTTGTGTGGTCATGTGATCAATCAAATAAAGTGACTTATTCATCTGAGAAGCACTTTAACAGTTTTAGTAAACCATAAAGGATGGAAATTTCCAAATCAAATTTCAGATTTCCACCAAGTAAAAATCTTATGATGTAGGACTGTTACATCTGTGCTGCACCAATCTATATAACCACTAGATGTCAACAAATAAGCACCTAATAAAACTCTCTTTTCTGCCCTCTAGTGATCATCAGAATTATTGCAGATCTGGTAGCACTATTATAATGGATACAATATAATATACTAAATAGGCCTTAGAAAAATTGAAAAGGGAATATTACTTAATTTTTTAATTTTATAAAGTTTACTATTTGTTTTCATCCATATTCAATAAGATTTATAGATTTAGAGCTGAGCACACATTTATCACACCAAAAGAAGCTGTATATAAACAAGACTCTATTGAGAATGTCTAATTCAGAAGGTGGAGGTAATTACATGCAAAACTGCAGCAAAGGCCTTTTTCTCTCCATTAGCTCTTTCTGCTGATCTTCTCTATCCTTTACAGATCAGTTCTGTCTACTGCACCTGCTTTTAATCACTTAGGAAGCATTATACAGCAATCCTAAAGCCAGTCAAAGCCAGTCGAATGGCTGCTGGATCCATAAAGAACACAATTCTGTTGAGAAAGTAGTGCATCTGCCCTGGAGGTCCCCTGATGTGCTTATAGAAATTTCTGCAAGCACGTACTGCTGCTGTTTGTACTGGCAATGGGGCATTCTATGAATATCTCAAGGTAGGATATGGTATCCAAAACACCTTCATTTCCCAACCCATCTATGAATCAGGCTTGCAGCCTCAGCAATGATGTACTGGTATTCTTATTTTCCATCCCAACAGTAAATTTGAGAAATTAATAACAACGAGAAGGAAAACGCTCCTCCTGCTTGCTTGGCCAAACAAACTGCTAAGTTTAGGAAATGGCAGTTCTTTCATTTTAGATTCTCACATATACCTTTCTTCTCAATATTGATAAAGGAGAAAAAAAGATAACAGAAATACAGGGTGGAGAGGAGTAGACAGTAGCTACTGTTTCCATCTATTTGAACACAAGCCTCTTCTAGAAAAACTTCAGAAATGTGAAAAGTTACCTCACTTAATGATGGTATATTTGATATAATGAATATTACATGGAGACAGGCCCTTCATTTCATACATATTTATTAGACAATGAAGTTTTAAAGGATTCATTTACTCATGTTTTAAGATTACATTTGAGAAAAATTCTCATTAAGAATGGAATGTCAATTCTGCCTGCTAGAAATCTGCTTGACTACTTTTGCTGAATATAATTTAGTTTGTTGTTGTTGTTGTTGTTTAGTCGTTAAGTCGTGTCCGACTCTTCGTGACCCCATGAACCATATTGCGCCAGGCCTTCCTGTCCTTCACTGCCTCCCTGAGTTTGCTCAGTTTCATGCTCATTGCTTCAGTGATGCTATCTAACCATCTCATCCTCTGCCGTCCTCTTCTCCTAGCCATACATTACTACTGGAAAAACCATAGCTTTGACTATGCGGATCTTTGTCGGCAAGGTGATGTCTCTGCTTTTTAATATGCTATCTAGGCTTGCCATAGATTTCCTCCCAAGGAGCA